CGCTGTGGCCGTCCGCCTGCTCCGCGATCACCCACGCGACGGCGGGGGCCGCAGTGGCGGCGCCGCCAGCGGCGGCGCCCGCGGCGCCGGCGGCCGGGCCGCCAGCGCCACCCGCGGCTCCCCCTCCCCCGCGGAAGGCGACGAACTCGATCGCCTCGGCCAGCAGCTGGTCCCCTTCCGCGTCGGTCGGCGGCTGCTGAAAGCGGTACAGGCGGGCTCCACCAAGACCGAGCGGGAGCTCCCCGTTGTCGCCAAGGAACCTCACCATCTCGAACACGTTCTGATCGCTCCTATCCTCGTCATACACGTCGAAGTCTGGGGTCGCGACTGCGACGAGCCCTCCTACCATATCATTCTGGAACACCCGCTCGTGTGACACATCCTCTCCCGCGCCCGCGTACTTCACCAGCGCCCGTCGTAGCATCATTCCCCCTGGTCCCATCGGCAAGGGCCACCCGTCCGCTTCCCGGACTCGAGGACCTGGAGGGGGCGGTGGCCCGACTGGAAGCCCAACCAGCGCCATAATGGACGCACGTGACTGTCACCTGCACGACCGAGAAGAACAGGCAGACCAGCGCGCACACGATGAGCTGCCAAGCCTGGTGACCCCCGCTGCTTGGAGCCGACAGCGCCTCACACTGACAATGACAGTGGCAGATCGGCTCCGGGATGTCTGGGCACTTTACCTCTGCCCTCCCCGCCGCTCGCGCGGCCTCCGCGGCGTCAGAGAAGACTCCGCGTAGCACCCAGGCCGGGAAGGCGGTAACCACACTGCTGGTCGCGACCTGCACAGACGCGGCCGAGGCGAGAAAGGCCCAGAGCATTCACACGCGGGGATGGTCCTGATGCGCAGCAAAAACCTTGATGGTTGAAAACGGCCGCGGGGGAGAACGATCAATGCTGTGCCCCGCACTCTCATCATCACCATCACCATCATTTATCATCATCATCATCATCAACATCATCATCATCATCATCAGCATCATCATCATCATCCTCATCATCATCATCATCATCATCATCATCATCATCAGCATCATCATCATCACCATCAGCATCATCAGCATCATCATCAGCAACATCATCATCATCAGCATCATCATCATCATCATCATCATCATCATCATCATCATCATCATCATCATCATCATCATCCCCTCCTCCTCCTCCTTCTCCTCCTCCTCCTCCCCCTCCTCCTCCTTCTCCTTCTCCTCCTCCTCCCCCTCCTCCTCGTTCCTCCTCTCCTCCTCCTCCTCCTCCCTCCTCCTCCTCCTCCTCCTCCTCCTCCTCCTCCTCCTCCTCCTCCTCCTCCTCCTCCTCCCCCTCCCCCTCCCCCTCCCCCTCCCCCTGCTCCTGCTCCTGCTCCTGCTCCTGTTCCTGCTCCTGCTCCTGCTCCTGCCCCTCCTCCTCCCCTCCTCCTCCCTCCTGCTCCTGCTCCTGCTCCTGCTCCTCCTCCTCCTCCTCCTCCTCCTCCTCCTCCTCCTCCTCCTCCTCCTCTTACTCCTCCCTCCTCCTCCTCCCCTCCCTCCTCCCCTCCCCTCCTCCTCCTCCTCCTCCTCCTCCCCCTCCTCCCTCCTCCTCCCCCTCCTCCTCTCCTCCTCCTCCTCCTCCTCCTCCTCCTCCTCCTCCTTCTGCTCCTCTTCCTCCTCCTCCTCCTCCTCCCCCTCCTCCTCCTCCTCCCCGTCCTCCTCCTCCCCCTCACGACGTACGATCGGTACCGCTACCCGAGGGGGGGGCGGGTAGCGGCCGTTACGTTTCGAGGAATGAAAAAATCTTGAGGCAGATGCACCGATCCTGGGCCCGATGACGATGATGATGATGACGATGATGACGATGCTGATGGTGAGGATGTGCGAAGGGAAGAGGTCGGGATGGGAGGAGTACAGTCGGACTCGATTGGACACGACACGCGAGAGGACAAAAAACCCTTCGCAGGAGGCATGGGTCGCGAGACACAGGACACAAAAGTACCCTTGATTTGGCAGGGTCGACGTACTAATCCGGGCCGACTGTAGGAGGAGGGAGGAGGGAGGAGGTGGGAAGCACGCGAGGCGCTGTCTCGTCAAAACGAAGGCCCAACACACCATGGTTGGGAAAACAATCTCGAGGCATACACACACCGACCCTAGGCTCTGGGGTCAGGATGGGCCTGGGCAAAAACGGTGGACCCTCTTAGACGCACGGCGACGACGGCGGACGACGACGACGACGACGACGACGACGACGACGACGACGACGACGATCGACGATCGACGACGACATCGACGATGACGCCGACGATGACGAGGACGAGGACGAGGGCGAAGGCGACGACGACGGGTCCGCAACACTGATCCACCACAACGGAGGGAGGGGCGGGGGCACCGGCAGCCCACTCCACCACGCCGCGCCCACAGGGCGAGGACGGGGGGGGGGGAGGGCGACCCCATTCGCGAGGCCTTCGCGAGGCTCACCGGTGCACGGCAAGTTCGCGTCGTGTCGACCCTGGCGTTGGTTCCTAGCGCCGCGGGGATCATTGAAACTTGAACGATCGGCCGTTCCATTCACGCCAGATCGTTCAACGACGGGCCGATTCCAGGCCACGGGCGGCGTTCAACCTGAAAGCGCCCGCGCTGGGGTCACCGCTGGTCGACACGACGCGAACCTGCTGTGCCCATCCAACAGTGGGGGGGGGGGGGGGCGATCCCATCAGCATTGGGAGTGGGGGCGGAGCCCCGGATCATATACGCACTACAGTCGGGGGCTTGACCTAAGGAACCCAAAATAAGGAACGAGGCCCCTTTTTTCCATGAGTTAAACTTCGATTTCCGATCGAAAACATAAGGAAAACCTGAGGCAAGCTGCGAAACACTTAAGGAACGCGGAGCCCCTCCCCAACGAAAAGGGTTCCTTCTTCAGGGCCCCGACTGTAGTCCTGGGCCCAGGCTGCGCCTGGCCAAAATTCGGTGGCCCCTTTCTCCAGGCGCCGGGGAGGCGCAGAGGGCCGGGGTCGGGGGCAGCAGCGGGGCCGGGAAGAACCTCGCTCCGAACGGCTCTCAGAAGCAGGCCAAGAGAACATCCAGCTGGGTGCGTTCCCTAACCCATGGGAGATCTCGAAGATCTGGCAGCTCTGCTCTGGAGGATGTCTTGGGCGCGGCGGCCTTCTCAGAGCGTTCCGGGACGCTCTGAGAGCGTTCCAGAACGCTCTGGAACGGATTTACTCGTCCTAGCCCCGTCCGACTGATTCTGGGCCCAGGATGGGCCTGGCCAAAATCGGTGGCCCCTCGAAAGGGACTTCTGAGACCACGGCGTTGCGTTTGAGACTTCAGCAAGCGAGTGAAAGCGCCCTGCGACGACCTTGCTGGCGAAGCCGAACGGACTCGAGAACTCGGCATCGCCCGTCTCAAGAGTGCCTTTCTCTGGGGCCCCTTCTGGAATCGCATGACAGACGCCCCCAGGGTCGCCAGCCGCACCGCTCCTGGCCCTGGCCGCCAGCCGCACCCTGCGCGGCGGCCTCTCAAAACGTTCGGGAACGTTCTGAGAGCGTTTCGGCACGGATTTTTATCCTCGTCCCAGCCCCGTCCGACTGATCCTGGGGCCCAGGATGGGCCTGGCCAACATCAGTGGCCCCTCTCAGACGCCGCCCCTAGGTCTCGGACGGGTTGTACTGGGGGCTGCCCTTGATGAGGGGCGAAGCCAGCAGGGCCCCAAAGGAGGCCGCACATGGCCCCTTCAGAACCCTTTAGGGTCAGGGCCCTGTAGGACACCCTGCATTTAGGGCTTGCCATCGCTCTGCCGCCTATTTCCCGTGCATCTTCGGCCTCGTGCGTGCATTTTCCTCGAAAGGGGACCCAGGATGCTCCTCGATGGCCCACGCCGAGAGGAAGCGCACACGCCCGAGCGACGCCGAGATTTGGGCCACCCCCCCTTCCCAGACATCCGGCTGCTGCAGGTGTTTCCATGCGGAGGCCCTACGAAGGTCCGGACCACTTCCCCCGGGTCCAGCTTCTCCTCCTGAGCCGTTCTCTGACGCTCCCGAGGCTGGGCGGGGGCCCCCAGAGGCCGAAAACGGGCCAAAACACGCCCGCGCTCTAAATTTTCCGGAACGTCGGCTCTCTGGGTCTGGCTGACACGCGCGCGGTCTCCGGAAGTCCTGGCCCTTCCCCAGGACCGGCTCGTTCTTGGACGGCCCCAGGGCCCGGAAAGGGCCCCGAGAAGCAGAAAACGATGAACTGCCTCGCGCCCTGACATTTTTACGACGCCAGCATGCATGCATACCTGGGATATGCCCCTCGAGGGCCCTCGCCGTGAGAAGAGGCACACTCCCGAGCGGGGCCCAAAGGGGCCTGAAGCCCTGCGCTCCTTTTCCTCCTCCTCCTCCTCCTCCTCCTCCTCCTCCTCCTCTTGAACCTCCTCCTCCTCCTCCTCCTCCTCCTCCTCCTCAGAAGAGGAGGAGGAGGGGGGGAGGAGGAGGAGGAGGAGGAGGAGGAGGAGGAGGAGGAGGAGGGGAAGGATTACTACTATTATTAGTATTATTATTAGTATCATTATTGATAGTATTGTTATTGTTATGAGTATTCGGCTTATTCTGATTAGTAGTATAGTATTAGTATTAATTTTCGTATTATTAGTATTAGAAGTGTTATTTTTCTGTTTACCATTCGTATTCGCATTATTATTGTTATTGCTATTATTTTTAGTAGTAGTTCTATTCGTATTATCAGTACCACTAGCAGTACCATTATTATTACTAATGTTAGTAGTTGTAGTATAAGTGTTATTACTAGTGTTATTACTAGTATTATTACTAGTATGATTAATATTAGTAGTATTATTAGCATCGTGTTGTATGATTTTATGTATGTATGTATTTTCGTTGTTATTTAGTCATATCAATTACTCATGTAATGAATTATTGTTCTTCTCACCCTTCCTCCTCATATTATGATTACTATTGCGCTGCAGTGGTTACCGTGACGTCGGAAATCTGGCTATGCCTCTCGCCAGAGGAGGGGCGGCGCTCCTGGCCCTGGCCGCCAGCCGCACCCGGCGCGGCGGCGCAGGCTCGGGGCTCCGCGGCTCGGGGCTGCGCCGCCGCAGCACGTTGCGCCGCGCCCTGGGGCGGAGGGATCCCCTCCTCCTCCTCCTCCTCTTCTTCTTCCTCCTCCTCCTCATTTTCCTGTTCCTCCTCCTCCTCCTCCACCTCCTCCTCCTCTTCTTCCTCCTCCTCCTCATTTTCCTTCTCCTCCTCCTCCTCCACCTCTTCCTCCTCTTCCTCCTCCTCGTCTTCCCCCCCCTCTCCTTCTCCACCTCCTCCTCTTCCCCTCCTCCTCCTCCTCCTCCTCCTCCTCCTCCTCCTCCTCCTCCCCATTCTTTTCCTCCTCCTCCTCCTCTTTCTCCTCCTCCTCCAACTCCTCCTCCTCCTCCTCCTCCTCCTTATCCTTCTCCTCCTCCTCCTCCTCTTCTCGTCTTCTTCCTCCTCATCCTCCTCCACCGCATCCTTCTCCACCTCCTCCTCTTCCTTCTCTTTTCGTATTTCCTGTTTCTTATGAGCATTGGTGATATTATGATATTATTCCTCATCCTCCTCCTGCTCCTCCTCCTCTGCTCCTCGCATTCGTGATATTATTCCTCATCCTCCTCCAACTCCTCATCTACCTGTTCCTCCTCCTCCTCCTCTTCCTCCTCCTAAGCCTCCTCCTCCTCCTCCTCGTCCTCCTCCTCCTCCTCCCCCTCCTCCTTTTCCTTCTCCTCCTCCTCCTCCCTCCTCCCCTCCTCCTCTTTTTCTTCATCCTCGTCCTCGTCCCCCCCCTCCTTCTCCTCCCTTTACTCCTCCTCCTCCTCTTCCTTCTCCTCCTCCTCCTCGTACTCCTCCTCTTCTTTCTTTCTTCTCCTCCTCCTCCTCCTCTTCCCTCCTCGTCCTCCTCCTCGTCCTCCTCCTCGTCCTCCTCTTCCTCCTCCTCCTCCTATTCCTCCTCCTCCTCCTCCGCCTCCTCCTCCTCCTCCTCCTCCTC